CAAGTTAGGTACTATCACATGGGATTTCAAAACCCTCACTATGAAGTTCCTATGGGGCAACAGAAGAGTGGTGCTTCATGGTATTCACCCAGGGTCAGTAAGGTCTATTAAAGCGGAGAAGCTGAACAAAATACATGAAGACTCTGTCCAACTATCAATGTTTTGCATCTGTGATGTTGAAAAGGAGGACACAACTACATGTTTTTCAGTTGAAACGGTGACACCTCCTCAAGTGCTTTCTTCTCCTATTGAGAAGTCACTAGATGAGTTTTGGGATATCTTTGAGGAACCTGTTGGTTTACCACCATTCTGAAAGGATCATGACCACAAAATACAGCTGATTGAAGGTGCTAACCCGGTGAATCAACGCCCTTATCGCTATGCTGTTCATCAAAAAAATGAGATGGACAAAATGGTGAAAGAAATGTTGGACAGTGGCACGATTCAACCGAGCTCTAGTTCTTTTGCATCACCAGTGGTGTTGGTTAAGAAGAAAGATGGCACATGAAGACTCTGTGTTGACTAAAGAGGCTTAAATGGGTGGACAGTGAATGACAGGTTTCCCATTCCACTGATCGAGTATTTGATAGACGAGTTGGGAGGGTCCAAAATCTATTCGAAGATAGACTTGCGCGCAGGGTATCATCAAGTCAGAATGTGTCCGCTTGACATTCAAAAGACTGCTTTAAAGACACGTGGCGGTCACTATGAGTATTTAGTAATGCTATTTGGCTTAACGAATGCCCCTGCAACTTTTCAAGGCTTGATATATTCAACCTTTCACGAGTTCTTGAGAAAATTCGTCTTAATTTTCTTTGACGATATACTCATTTACAGAAATTCAGCAGAGATGCATGTGCAGCACTTGCAACGAGTTTTTGAAGTCATGAGGAGGCAAAAACTATTTGCTAAAAGGAGCAAGTGTGCTTTTGCAACTGCATGGGTTGAATATTTGGAACATTTTATTGAAGAAGAAGGCATTTCTACATATTCCAACAAACTCAAAGCTGTTGCTGACTGGCCGATTACGGTAAATTTGAAACAACTGAGAGGGTTTTTGGGATTGGCCAGATACTATAGGCGTTTTGTGAAAAACTTTGGTAGTATAGCACGACCTCTCACTCTGCCTACAAGAAGGACTCATTTAATTGATCCCAAGAAGCCAAAAACGCCTTTGATACGTTGAAACAAGCCTTATGTATGCCTCCAGTATTGGCTCTGCCTCTCTTTGATAGACCATTTGTAGTTGAAACTGACGCATGTGGTCAAGGCATTGGTTCCGTGTTTATGCAAGAAGGACACCCTTTAGCTTATATCAGTCGTCATCTTAAAGGGAAGCAACTGCATTTGTCAATCTATGAAAAGGAGTTATTGGCAATGGTTTTTGCAGTTCAGAAATGGTGACACTATCTCCTCACGGGTCATTTTGTCATCAAAACAGATCAGCGAAGTCTGAAGTATTTGCTCGAACAGCGTCTGAACACACCTATTCAGCAACAATGGTTACCTAAACTTTTGCAATTTGACTACGAAATTCAGTATAAAGAGGGCAAAGAGAATTTAGCTGCAGATGCTCTCTCTCGGGTTGAAGGTGCAGAGATCTTGCATATGGCACTATCTGTTTTGGATTGTGACCTGCTACAGTGAATTCAGGGCTGCTATGAGACTGATGGCCAGATCTGTGATTTGATTTCTGAGTTGAAAGCGAAGCCAGGATGCAAGAAGCATTTTACGTGGTCTCGTGATATTTGCGCAGGAAGAGTAAGATCGTGGTTCCTGCTGATATTTCTCTACGAGATACTATCCTTCAGTGGTTACTTTGTTCGAGTGTAGGTGGTCACTCAGGCCGAGTTGCAACACATCAACGCGTTAAAAGGACATTCAAGCGTATATACGAAGTTACTCTGTCTGCCAGCAATGTATGTACGATACATCTGCATCTCCTGGATTATTACAGCCATTGCCAATACCTTAATCCGTTTGGACAGACATTTGTATGGACTCATTGATGATCTTCCACTGTCTTTTGGCAAGTCTGTGATTCTGGTAGTGGTGGATCGATTGACGAAAGCTGCACATTTCGTTGCTTTAAGTCATCCTTATACTGCTGCATCAGTGGTGCAAGCCTTTTTGGATAATGTGTTTAAACATCACGGATTCCCGAGCTCGATTGTTAGTGACAGAGATGATGTATTCTTGAGTGAGTTTTGGAGAGAGCTATTCACATTACAAGTAGTTGCTCGTAACTACTCGAGTGCTTACCATCCACAAAGCGATGGTCAAACGGAGGTTGTCAGTCGTTGTTTGGAAACTTATTTGAGGTGTATGTGCAGCGATAGACCCTACTTATGAAGCCGGTGGCTGCCTCTTGCTGAGTTCTGGTACAATACTAATTTCCACTCATCTGCTGAGATGAGCACTTACGAAGCAGTTTATGGCCAACCTCCACCGCAGCATCTCCCTTACTTACTGGGTAAAAGTAAAGTTTCCGTGGTTTCTAAGAGTTTGCAAGAGCGTGAAAACATGTTTCTCATCTTGAATTTTCACTTATTACGAGCTCAACATCGTATGGAGCAGTCAGCAAATCGTCATCGTTCTGACCGCAGCTTTATCATTGGTGCTTTTGTTTTTGTCAAGCTTCAACCTTATCGCCAGGGTTCTGTAGTGTTACGAGGGAATCAGATGTTAGCTCCTAAGTATTACGGCCCTTATAAGGTTATGGATAAATGTGGCTATGTCGCGTATAAATTGGAGTTGCCAGTTACGAGTCGCATTCATCCAGTCTTCCATGTCTCACAGCTTAAACTGCCAGTTGGTAATACTTCGATCAATACTGCTTTACCCTCCGTTGTATCAGATGTGTTGTCTAATGAACCAGAGCATATGCTTGAAAGGCGTATGGTTCAGCGGCAAGGTTAACCAGCAACTAAAGTCTTGGTGAAATGGATTAACGAGGCTGAGTGTGAGACTACCTGGGAGTTTCTCTATGGTCTCTTACAGAAATTTCCAGCATTCAACCATGAGGTCCAAGTTGCTTAAAGGAGGAGGATTTGTTATAGTGTAGTCAAATGTGGTAGCGTTTATTTGATGGTCATGATTAGAAGATCAAGGAACGACTGAGATTAAATGTGGAAGCTGATCGAAACTGCTTAACTACGGGAGGAGAGAGAAAAGAAAATTCATTCAGTAAAAATTTGTTACCAATGTTGACCTTCTTAATCTAGGGCTCTAACTAGTAAATGCTGAATTGTGAAATCAGCTGAATTTAATTAAAATTCAGCAGATTTTTTTATGTGAAACACCAGTTGAAAGGAAAGAAATTCAGCTAAAAAATAAAAGAAAAAACAGTAAAAAACAAAAATAAATAATTATTTTCAGATATTTTCTCTTTTCTCTTTTCAATTAATTCATTAATTAGTTTTCATATTGTATAAATGGTTGATTTATCCTGTGTTTGAATATTGCAACAAAAGTAAAGTTTGGTTATATATTATATCATTATGAAAATTATTAATTGTTTACATATTCTTAATTAATATACACGTTAACTGTTTAGATAATTTTGACTATGGTTATTATAACATATGTATCATAAATGAGGTGAAATTTGTATCATCTATATTTTTAAGTTAATTATCAGATAATAATGAATACTAATTAGAAAAGAGTATACAAAATTATATTGAGCAAATAAATTGGATAATATAGATATCAAATAATATATGTATAAGTTTAATACATAATTTTACAATCCAATATAAAATTTAAATTCATGATAGAAGACAATTGTCTTTCTTGAATGTGATGTGATACCCATAAAAGATGATATTAGTTATATTACTAATTGTTTTATTATTTATTTATATATTTAATAATCAGTTTAGTTAAACAAATATACATTTTTATATTTTTTAAGTCAATTACTTATAATTAATTGATTAATTTTTTTTTACCATTTAATTATTTTAAAAAAATTGTCAAATTATTTGATCAAATTTTACTAAAATATATTTATTTTGACAAATATAACTACAACTTTTAAAATATTTTAGTTATTTCGATCTAAACATAACTAATGTATATTCGATGTATAATTATAATTTTATTTCGTTTATAATAAGTCTAAATATAACTAATATTTTTAAGTATGTAATTGTATTTCAGATATTTTAGATATTTATTCAATTCTTGATTTGTTTTTTGTTATTTTAGTTTTTGATTTTGTTTTTTTTTTGCATTTTATGTTGTTTAATAAATAAATAATACATTAAAATAATTTTATATTTTCTTATATTTATTCACTTAATTCATATTTTTCATTATGTTTTTTTAATTATTTTCAACTATTCCAGAATTTCTCAGTTACCATTTATATTATTAGTTTTTCTATTAGATACAGCTAAAAACCACAAAAAAGAATTCGCAGATTCTGCATTCCGCTAGATTCTGCAGTTACCATTTACATATTTCTCTGTAATTTTTCTTATGGATCTTTTTTATCAAACTTAGATTCTTAAGGCGTGTTGAATTCTTTGTTTGTTTCAACATTGGATTCAGATTGTGAATAAAAGTGGTATTTGTTTTATTCATTATCATATGATTCATGAATCGATGAGAATTTTGAAAGAATGTAGTCGGAACTGAACAGATCCGTTGATGAAAAAAAACTAAATATTAAGAAATTTTTGTTTTAATGAAAAACCAGAAGTTAATTATCTTAATATTTGAAAAACTTGTGTTTTATGGACAACCTCTATTCTTAATATTTGGGCTTTAACTGGTAACCAATAAAAACGGAATAAGAATGAAAAGGAAAATAATGAAAGGAATAAAAGAAAAAGAATGAATAGGAATGAAAAATATATAAAGAAGTAAATAAATATATTTTGTTCTTCCTCAATTTTAATAAGGAATATTATTACTAGCAAATGGTAAAATTTTTAAAGAATGAAGAGGAATTCATTATTCGCCGTTACTCATTGTTTTTATTCCCCACGATACGTTTAGGAGAACCAGAAGTTAATTATCTTCTCTTCGTCGCAAGTCGCAACTCCCTCACGTTGCTGCTTCTCTTCACTTTGAGTCCACATCGTTGCAACCCAAGAACTGTGATCCTTTATGCCGTATTACCACTGCTTCCATCAGACATTCGTCCCACTCTATTGTAAGAGTTTCTAATGTCGCCTCAAGCCTAACAGGAACAAACCCATGTTTCTTTGGTCTATCTCGTCCTCATATACTGTTCCTCGTAATAAGCTCAACACCAGTGATGTCCTTCGTGTAATACTTTCATCCCTTTTCTCAGAATCTTCCCATTGCAACAACACCAATGCTTCACTATGTTCTGATTTTGTAATTTTGCTGTTTTCTTTTTGTAGACACTTTGTGAGATCAGGAGGAGAAAGACACCAATCTCAAGTTTCCGAACTTGTTCTGCTGCTATCTCTGTTTCTCTCTCAGACGATGAGTCATTCCAAGAAAGGGGAATTGATCCTGTGGAGAGCCGTGGAATCAGGCCAAATCATCAAACTTTCACATGGCTTCTAGAGGGATGTTTGAAGAAAAACGGGTCTTTAGCTGAAGGGAGAAAGCTACATTCCCAGATTTTGAAGCTGGGTTTTGTTAACGACGCTTGTCTTTCTGAAAAGCTTCTTGATTTTTACCTATTCAAAGGAGACTTAGCTGGTGCTTTCAAGGTGTTTGATGAAATGCCTGAGAGAACGGTTTTTACATGGAACAAGATGATAAAGGAGTTAGCGTCTAGAAATTTGATTGGGAAAGTGTTGAGTCTCGTTTCGAGAATGGTAAATGAAAACATTACTCCGGATGAAGCCACCTTCACGTGTTTATTGGAAGCTTGTCGTTGTGGTAGTGTTGGATTTGATGTAGTTGAGCAGATTCATGCAAGGATGATACATCAGGGTTTGGGGAATAGTACAGTTGTGTGTAATCCTTTGATTGATTTGTACTCAAGAAACGGGTTTGTGGATTTAGCTAGAAAGGTTTTTGATGGGTTAGACATGAAGGATCACAGTTCTTGGGTTGCAATGATATCTGGGCTGTCGAAAAACGAATGTGAAGTGGACGCCGTTAGATTGTTCTGCGATATGTATGTTTCAGGTATCATCCCAACACCTTACGCGTTGTCAAGTGTTTTAAGCGCGTGTAAGAAGATAGAGTCTCTTGAGACCGGCGAGCAAATTCATGGGCTCGTATTGAAGTTGGGGTTTGCCTCTGACACTTATGTTTGCAATGCACTTGTCTCCTTATACTTTCATCTGGGAAGTTTGATATCTGCAGAACACATCTTCAGCAACATGCAACTTAGAGATGCGATTACTTATAACACCCTTATCAACGGGCTTTCTCAGTGCAGTTACAGTGAGAGAGCTATGGAACTGTTCAAGAGAATGCAGCTTGATGGACTTAAACCAGACTGTAATACTCTTGCAAGCCTTGTGGTTGGATGTTCAGCTGATGGAACTCTTCTCAGGGGACAACAGATACACGCATACACAACTAAACATGGTTTTGCTTCAAACAGCAAGATCGAAGGTGCGCTTCTTAATCTGTATGCAAAATGCTCCGATATTGAAACCGCCCTTGATTATTTTCTTGAGACCGAGGTTGAAAACGTAGTTCTGTGGAATGTTATGCTTGTTGCTTATGGGCTGTTAGACGATTTAAGAAACTCTTTTAGGATTTTCAGACAGATGCAGATGGAGGAAATTGTTCCGAATCAGTATACTTACCCGAGTATTTTGAAAACTTGCATCCGTCTAGGGGATCTTGACCTCGGGGAACAAATCCATTGTCAGATAGTGAAAACTAGCTTTCAGCTCAATGCCTATGTTTGTAGTGTGCTCATAGATATGTACTCAAAATTAGGAAAGTTAGATACTGCCAGGGACATTCTTGTAAGGTTTGCTGGGAAAGATGTTGTGTCTTGGACGACAATGATTGCAGGGTACACGCAATACAGTTTCAACGACAAGGCTTTAACAACTTTCAGGCAGATGTTGGATCTAGGGATCCGGTCTGATGAAGTTGGATTCACAAATGCAATTAGTGCATGTGCTGGTCTTCAGTCGCTAAAGGAAGGACAGCAAATTCATGCTCAATCTTGTGTATCTGGTTTCTCATATGACTTGCCACTTCAAAATGCACTGGTTACACTTTATTCTAGATGTGGAAAAACAGAGGAAGCATATCTAGCGTTTGAACAAACCGAAGCTGGAGATAATATAGCGTGGAATGCTCTGGTTTCGGGGTTTCAGCAGCGCGGAAACAATGAGGAAGCGCTTCGTGTCTTTGCTCGAATGAACAGAGAAGGGATTGAAAGTAATAATTTCACGTTTGGGTCTGCTGTAAAAGCTGCTTCCGAGACAGCAAACATGAAACAAGGGAAGCAGGTCCATGCCGTGATCACCAAAACCGGATATGATTCAGAAACCGAAGTTGGTAATGCTTTAATCTCTATGTATGCCAAGTGTGGAAGCATTTCTGATGCAAAGAAACGGTTTCTTGAACTCTCCATGAAAAATGAAGTTTCTTGGAACGCGATAATTAATGCTTATTCTAAACATGGGTTTGGCTCTGAAGCGCTAGATCTTTTCGACCAGATGATACATTCTAATGTAAGGCCTAATCATGTAACACTTGTGGGAGTTCTATCAGCATGTAGCCACATAGGTCTTGTGGGAAAGGGGATTGAATACTTTGAGTCCATGAACACAAAATATGGATTAGCTCCTAAACCGGAACACTATGTCTGTGTAGTGGATATGCTAACCCGAGCTGGTCTTTTGACCCGTGCGAAAGAGTTTATTCAGGAGATGCCTATTGAGCCTGATGCTTTAGTCTGGAGGACGCTTTTGAGTGCTTGTGTGGTGCACAAGAACTTGGAAATAGGAGAGTTTGCTGCGCATCATCTCGTGGAGTTAGAGCCTGAAGACTCGGCGACATATGTACTTCTTTCGAATCTGTATGCCGTGTGCAGGAAATGGGATGCTAGAGATCAAACAAGACAAAAGATGAAAGAAAAGGGTGTGAAGAAAGAGCCTGGACAAAGCTGGATTGAAGTTAAAAACTCAATCCACTCTTTCTATGTTGGTGACCAGAATCACCCTTTGACAGATGAAATACATGAATGCTTCCAAGATCTTACCAAACGAGCTTGTGAGATTGGTTATGTGCAAAACTGTGTCAGCCTATTGAATGAAGCGCAGCAAGAGCAGAAAGATCCGGCGATTTTCATCCACAGCGAGAAGCTAGCGATTTCGTTTGGACTGCTTAGCTTGCCTGCAGGAATGCCTATAAATGTAATGAAGAACTTGAGAGTTTGCAACGATTGCCATGATTGGATCAAGTTTGTATCCAAGGTATCGAATCGAGAGATCATAGTGAGGGATGCGTATAGGTTTCATCATTTTGAAAGAGGTGCTTGTTCTTGTAAAGATTACTGGTAAGAACCAAAGAGTTTAGAAGAAGACTAAAATTCTTTGTAAAGCCTCTCTTTGTTCATGCTTCCATTGCTTAGTGAATCTTACTATCATTCGAGGCCCATATCTTTATAGTTTCTATGGCTTTAGAATGATGAATTGTAGATTGTGCAAAAGTGTCCTAAATGTTTTTGTAAAGCCTTTATGATGCCAAGAAACACAGTCAATTTTACACAACATATATTATGTACCTAATTGTACATATTTGCCCACAAATGTGTATAGATACAAATAAGCATATTATACAATTAAACAAAACCACAACGAGATAAAAGGATATTCTCTGAAAAAGCTGGTTAACGTGCCTTAGGGATCATGTCAGTGTTTAAACTTATGCTCGGTTCCAAGAAGTTCTTTGACTCAACATCATGGCTCCTCTTTTTCAAGTTTTCAGATGTTTCTAAACAATCATTTAGCTCATGAACAACCCGAGACATGTTTGGTCTCTCCGCGGAAGAAAGGGTAACGCAAGACATTGCTAGTTCAAGAGCTCTCCACGTGGAACTTGTATCATAATCTCCAAGAAGATTTGGATCCATAATACTTTTGATATCGCCATTTACGAGCATAGACCTTGCCCATTCTACTATGTGAGCCTTTTCACGAGATTTCTCAATCACTGGTTGACCACTGATGATTTCTAATAAGAGAATCTCAAAGCTATATACATCACTCTTTCCGGTCAACCAAGATTTTTGGAAACACCTGCGTGGAAGAATATTTAAAGTTGAAAAAAAAAGATATGTTTGTAACTACAATATGATATGTGTTAGAGGGGAAATGAACACATTTTCTAAAAATTTTTATCTAGCAATAATCCAAGCCCATCAAGATCGAGGAGACCACGCCGACGTAAACTCAAAAAGGAAAGCCCCTTGAAGACATTCTTCAAATCCAAGAATATCGGATCAGCTCGAAGGAATATTCAAGGATAAAGACGAATTTTCATATTCTTCGGAGAATAAGGGATATTTCCAAATCGCAAAAATAGAAATATTCACCAAATGAGAAAAGGAAAAAGAGCTCGGAGCAACCGATCTCCTATTTCTATAAATAAGAAGACCTCGGAGCACAAGAGAACAACTCATAGAATCTAGAAAGCAGCAGAGCTAAACCTAAAAAACTCCAAGCTTTCCAGTTTATCGGATTAACACCTTTCTTTCACTTCGGCATAACTTCTCGGTTAAGCCATCTCTTGTAATCGTTTTGTCTTTAAGCTATTAATAAAGATCTTATTCTCTGAAACCCACAATTGTTAATCACAAACCCTAGTGGTGATTTTCTAGTTCAACAATTGGCGACGTCTGTGGAGACTAGAAAAATAAAATTCTAAAAAACTAGCAAGAAAAGATCCGAAGCGATGAGCTTTCGATTCGACAACAGCGATCTCACCCTCAGCACAGAAGACACTACCACGCACATCGAAACGCCTGCTCTCGACGAGTACGGCAACCCCGTCACTACCGCGATTCCACCATCCACGGGAAAATACGCGATATTCGACGATTCCCACATGATCATGGGGGGAGTATTTCACGACGACAGCTCGCTTAAGGAGATTAAGCGTCACGAAGAAAAGGCAGTAGAAGCTAAGTGCAATCCAACCGCTCCGCAAAATGCAGCACCAGTAGACTTCGCCGCAGAAGACCTACGAAGCTCGCACACACCGCATATCGACCCACTGGTTATAACATTGCAAATCTACAAAAGCATAGTCGCCAAAGCTATGGTCGACAGTGGTAGCACCGTCAACATTATTTTTAAAGACACGCTGGCAAGAATGAGCGTAGACGAAAGCGAGATAACAACGACGGTAAAAACGCTAACAGGATTCATGGGAGATACCTCCTACGGCTCAATACATTTACTCACCTACATCGGCGGCATAACCAAAAAGGTAAAGTTTGCAGTCATCGACTGCCCGATTATTTATAACATCATACTCGGAACCCCATGGATCCACAGCATGAAGGTCGTAATCTCAACTTATCACCAATGCATCAAGTTTCCGACACCTGCCGGCATGTTCACCCTGCAAGATGATCAATCGACAGCAAGAATGTGCCTTCTTAGCGAGAGAAAGATCAGGACGGCAACTACGTGCATGGTAAATGAAGATTTAGACCCACACCTTCCTTATCACAAACGACCAAAGCCCGAGCGGGTTATACAGGTAAGCATTGACCAGCAGTACCCCGAAAGGACCGTCAACATCTGTGGTGACCTCGCAGAAGATATTAAAATAGAGCTCGTCAAATTTTTGCGAAACAATGTGCATTTATTCGCTTGGTCTATCGAGGACGTGAAGGGAATCGACATGACACCAGAATCACGTCGCATAAGCTAAACGTAAACCCTATGTTCAAAGCAATTAAGTAAAAACGAAGGAAGTTCGGCCCTGAAAAGCCCAAGCAGTGACTGACGAAGTGGAAAAATTACTCGGTACTGGATCAATTACTAAAGTTCAATACCCTGACTGGTTAGCCAACCCCATCGTCGTAAAAAAAACAGTAAATAAAGAGTCTGTGTTGACTTTACCGATCTTAATAAATCTTGTCCAAAGAATTGTTTTCCGCTCTTCATATCAACCAACTTCTCGAATCAAATCAAATCAAGATATCCAAGCGTCCCAACGACAACAGTGGATACATGAGTATCACTCCCTCCTACAATGAAGGATCTTGAAAGTCCGAAATCGGCAAGTTTTGCTTCCAAATGTTCACCCAACAATATATTTGTACTTTTGACATCTCTATAAACCTTTGGCGGCTTGCATCCAATATGCAAATTACGAGAAATATCAAGTTTCAACTTAAAACAAAAGAAATATAAAAAAGGGGTACTACAATAATTTCTACAAACCTACAGCGGACTCTGCAGCTATTCGAAGTCTACTTGACCAGTTCAAGACAGAACTGCCACGTTTTCCTGCAAAAAGTTACCAAAATGTTAAAACCTTCAAAAATATATATACAAGAAAAATTTTATATAGCCACAAAATTTGTTGTAGATATAGTCTATATTCCATAGTTATTTTTCCTTGAACCACAAGTAACAAGGCATAATTAGAATTTGTAACTATAGGCTTGTAGTTATCGGTCTTGTGGCTATTCGTAGCTATGTTACCACAAATCGAACTAGAAAATGTTAATTCATACTCTTGTGTTTACCCGATATATGCTCTTTTAAGTCTCCATTTGCCATGAACTCATAGATGAGAGCCAAGTCATCTCCTTCATCGCAGTATCCGATTAGGCTTACTAAATTTACATGATGAACTCTTAGAAGTAGTTCCACCTACAAATTGAGGACGTAAATGGGTATATTTTGTTGACTCATCATCTCAGTTTTGTGTGTGTGTGTGTGTGGAAGATTGTGGTATATGTACCTCTGTTTTGAATTCTTTATAGCCTTGAGTTGACGTCTGAGAGAGAACTTTAACCGCTACTTGTTCATTATTTAGTAGACCATGACAGACAACACCAAATCCTCCTTTACCCAAAACAACTTTAAAGTTATTAGTCATTTCCTTGACTTCTGAATAAGTAAATCTTCTACTTTTCGTTTCTACTTTCTAGTGATGGTCGCATAACTGCAAACAAAAGTTTAACCAAGGTTCAATGATATTTGTTACTATTGATATGAGCATATTTTATATTTTCTCCATTTGCTATTACCTTTCCCAGCTGATGGATTTCTCCTTCTTAAAACGAAGATGAGAACTAACACAATTATGATCATGGCAACTAGTGAAGATACAGATGCGATAACCACCACCACTGGAATTTTTTTGTGGCATGATACACATAGGTTTATATTTCTTTCAACACTAACGTAAATAATGTTATTGGTGACACAAAAATAAACACAAAATGATGGATAGTAAACAAAAAAAGAACAAATCTTACTGTAGCTTTAGTCCTTCCTTTTTTCTATTAAGGAGGGATTGAGGAATAGAACCTTTAAGGTTGTTTTCATTTAAGTTTCTGTAGATGTGGAGATCGTAAGAGATGGAGTAAATATGAAAATTTTCGTTATGAATTTCTGACAACTTACATTATCAACAAAAATTCCATCTTGGCTAGAAATTCAGGCACTTCTCCAATCAAGTTGTTTTTCGACAAGTTCCTAAAAATTTGTGAAAAAAAAAAAGCAAACTAAATTGCATATTCTGCAAATAAAACATTCAATTTATTCAAACATGGAGATACATACAATTATTGAACTTGGGTTAGATTTTGTATGCCAGGTGGTATAACTCCATTTAATCCACTTGAAGATAAATCTCTGTTTAAAACATTATAATCAAACATATCAGATCAAATACTGTATATATATTTTAGGGCTTAAGTTTTGATAACACAAGATTGTTTTTGAGTGTTCTTACAGTGTTATGATTCTCGGTGGTGCAGACATATCACCAATCCACAAGAACTGTTTAGGAACGCATGGATTTCCTTGTAAGTGCACTGGATATTCTTAATAGCAATGACTGTAACAAAAATATATGCATAACAAAAAAAAAAAACATGTGTAAGTAAACTATGATAAGAAACTCATATTAGTAACAAACTAAGCTTTATCAAGCTTTCGGATATTATTCACTACACAATTAACTTAACTATGGCAGTCGCTTGTTCACGTTTTTGCATTTTGAAAACGTCATTTTGATATTTTTTAAGTTAGTTTATTGAAGCGGAATAACTCATTGTGAACTTTGTGTAGTGACACAAAATAGTTTTGTTATAATAAACTAAGTTATAAACTATTTTGATAATCATTGCTCGTGAATATCAGTTTTTCTATGGAAACTCCACCACAAAATTTTCATTCGTTTTATTCATCGAATTTCAATTTTTATGTTGTTTAAAATGATTTTGCTATATATAACTAACATGTAAAAAAAAATAGAAAAAAACAAAAAACGATTAAACTACTAAAAGTATATTTCAAAGTTTTATAATTATTAAAAAAAAAATCATTTAGTTTGTTGTGTAAACAATTTTTCAGTTATTTTGTTATTAATCTGACATAGTAGTCAGACCTTATGATTGCCCAAAGACATATTGATTATAAAAGCTTAGATTGTTCTCTCTCGAAAAGTTTAATTAGCTTGTTCCCTATCATACGTCTTGTGTGCAT